CCACCCGCCCAGGACAGCTGTACCCCGGACGACGGCCTGCCTACCCACCAGGCGCTACCTCAACTCCTTAGCACATAATCTTTCTACCTCTTTCCTTATCTTCTTTACCATCAAAATTTCTAAAACTCACACCCATTTCAGGACACAAACAACAAACCTGCATGCATTACTATTTCGATGTAACAATTTTTGCACATTCCCTTCCCGAGTGTACAAAAATCCCCCAATAAACCGATTGCTAAACTAAACTCTCTCTCGCAGTGGCACGTGGCCCGTTGGTCCGCCTCCGCCGCCACTACATGACGCTCTCGTAAGGTTGGGCGATACGTGTGAGCTTTGCTCAGGCAGTGACAGCAGTGATGATAACCCCCCGTGACCCGCGTTACACTTCTCGAGGACGGCCTCCTGCTGCAAGGGGGATCAGGGGCTGCCTCCCAAACAACGGGAAACTATTTGGAATGATATAGTTGATTAGTATTATTTCAATCCCACTTTTATGGCGGCAATTTTACTTACAAAAATGCCGCGATGGATGAGTTTTTTTTTCATTCTTTATTTTGCATAGTAACAGTCAAATGTCAAACATATGAGCTGGGTGAAACAAAATTTACAAGTCTCGTCGTTGTCGTGGGCGATAGTGTTACTGTGCTACTATAGTATCGACTGCAAAAGGAACGTTGTGTAACCGGTGTTACTTCTTGCGTTAGTAATCTCTCCCTCATCTAGCAGCAGTTGTTGAGTTGGGCCACCCAACAGCCGCCCTTCACGGCCCGTCGCCCAGAAACGTTCGCAAGAGCCGCTCTTCTAGAGAAACTCAAGAGCCCCAGACACGTTCAGAAAGGGCCACCGCTTGATAGACTTGAGAGTCTCTTGACACATGCGAAAGAGCCACCACCAGGGCAACTCAAAAGTCTCTACTAGCCACTGCTATTTAACCAGGGTGCTCTCCCTCCCGCCCCGTCCGTATAGCTCTTCTCTGTTACATGGGATGTGTAAACAAACAGGTGAACACAGCAGCTGTGCGACTCAAGGGGCACAGGTCCTAGGGTCGTGCACGTGCAACTGACAGTGACACCCTTGATTGTCAAAATAAAACACATAACATACAGTGTACTGAGGCCGAGGGGTGTATCCCTATCGACGACCCGTAAGAGAGAGACTACACTTCACGTCAAAGTTTCGGCGCGAATTTTAAGTCTGAGGCAATCACTTGATTATACAGATTCCAGAAGCGAGCGAATATTTTTCAAGGAAGGGAAGGGAAAGGCGGTACAATGAGCAGGAAGCACGGCCCCGCGATCCAGGCGGCCGGCCTGGGGGGCGTCCTGCTTGGCAGGGCAGCAGCAAAGGGGGAAAAGGGTGGGGGGGCGTCTCTAAGCCCGCCTAGGAGGTCTAGGGGTGCGGGGCGCAGCTGCCACGCCGGCGTGACCACACCCCTGCGCGCCTTGCAGGCGCTACCACGCCCACGAGCCCGCGGAGCGGGGTCAAGGGTCGAGGGAGGCCAGAGCCGGTCGATGGCGGTGGGCAGCCAGGACGAGGACAACCTACCTGGAGAGGGCGGCGGGGGCGACCCTCCTGGCGCGCCAGCGCGCGTACGCGCTGTAGAGGCCGGCGGGCCGGACGCGCACCCGGGGCACGGCGAGGCAGCCGCGCGGCGAGCAGCCCTTGTTGGCGGCGCGGGCCTTGGCGGCGGCGCGGGCGCGGAGCGCGCGCAGCTGGCGCAGCACGGCCTCGGCCCACTCCAGGTCGTGCGGCGGCGCCGGCGGGGGCACCGTCTTGAACGTCGGCGGCGTCGGCGGCCGCGAGGTGATGAACGTCGTCGGGGCCTGCGCCGCCGGGGGCGACGACGGCGCCTTGCACAAAGCCGGCGGCGGCACCGCCCTGGACGTGAGCGTCAGCAGCTCCAGCGCCGACGGCGGCGACATCGCCATGCTCGACGGCAGTCGCGTCATCTTCGTGAACGTCGGTTGCGCTGGCACCGCGGACGTAGTCATTTTCTTGGGTGGGGGTGGCCTCGGTGGCGGGGTGGACCTCCTGACGGGGGCCCTCACGGGGGCCCTGGCGGCGGCCTCGGGCTGCCCCTGCACGAGCATGGCGGCGGGCTCGGGGGCCGCGGGCGGCGCCGGCACCGGAGCACTGCCCAGCTGGCCTGCTGGCGCTGGCCCCTGGCTGCCGGCCGGGCCGGACTGCGCGCGCGGGCGTGTCGGCGGGGACTGAGCCCGGCAGGCCGCGTCCGCCCCGCGAGCGGCCACCGGCGGGGCGTGGCGTGGCGGGGCGGCGGCCACCGCAGGGCTCTAGGGCCGCCGCGGACTCCTGGCAGTAGGCGCCACAACACCACCTCCTCCTGGAGGCGCTCCCCGACCCCCACCCCGGGCGGCCCGCGGGGTGCTGCGCGTTGGGGTGGGTTGCCATGGCGCCCGCGCGACCACCACGGGCCTCACCTCCACACTCACCGCACCTCGCCACCACTCACCGCCACAGGTCTGGACATCCCCGCTGCAGCTACGAGTGCCGTTCCCTAGGAGAGCCCGCCGACGGGACGGGGCGTCCTTGATGCCCCATTGCAGCAAGTGACGGCGCGGCGGACGCGCCATCCCCGCCCCGCCCCGCCCGGCCCTGCCGCCAATCCTGCTCCCTAAATGAACGCAACTCGATCCTGGCGGGACGGCCCCGGCCCGGGCCGGGCCCCTGCTGCGTCCATGGAAAAGGGCCGGCGGAGACCACCGATTGTATGATCGCACTTTTGACCACTACCATAGGGGTTTGGCGCCTGCGAGACCCGGGGTAGGCCGCCCCGCACAACACGCATGCACTGCGGGCGAGACGTTGCCTACCCATCAGGCGTCATGAGAGCTTGCTGAGGGGTGTAGATAGATTGTCCGGCCTACTTTTCTCCGACCTGGTAATTGTCCCAAAATCCCCAAAAGTGCTGTCCCACCTCGGTTTTGTCCTACTTATCTTTCTCCGACTTCGTCGATATGCTGAAATTGGGGAAGAATGTGCTTCAAAAGTAAACGTAGGAGTACGTGCAGCAGCCCGTAGTGGCTGAGCGTTAGTCAGTGTGCTAAAATTCTCAGAGGTAACGCTTTAAAGAACACAGTAAAGTATACATAGAAGGCCAGGGAAGC